AATTAGACAAGAGAGAGAAATAAAAGGGGTAAAGCTAGAAAAAGAAGAAGCTAAATTATTATTTGCAGATGACATGATACTGTACATAGAAGACCCCCAAAACGCCATTGAAAGACTCCTAGGTATAATAAATTCATAATAATAAATCCAAATAAATTGGATACAAAGTCAGTACTCAAAACTCAATAGCATTCTGGTACACTAACAACAAAACCACTGAGAGAGAAATAAGAGAAACTACAACCTTAACACTAGCATCTAAAAAAATGAAATACTTAGGAATTAATCTCATGAAGGAGTAAAAAAATCTATACAGGAAAATTATAATACCCTAAAAAAAAGAAATTGAAGAGGATTTCAGAAAATGGAAAGACATCCCTTGTTCATAAATAGGAAGAAGAAATATTGTGAAAATGGCCATTCTCCCAAAACTGTTATACAGATTCAATGCAATCCCAATAAAAATATCATCAGTATACCTCATAGATTAGAGAAAACAGTCCTAAAATTCATTTGGAACCAGAAGAGACATAGAATAGCAAAGACAATTCTAAGCAGGAAAAACAAGGCAGGAGGCATCACAGTCTCTGACTTGAAGTTATACTACAAAGCAACTGTAATAAAAACAACATGGTATTGGAATAAAAATATATCTGAAGATCAATGGAATATATTAGAAGATACAACTACAACTACAAACACAACAACCTTATCTTTGATAAAGGGGCCAAACATGTTCACTGGAAGAATGACAGTCTCTTTAATAAATGGTACTGGGAAAACTGGCTCTCCATATGCCAAAATCTAAAACTAAACACATGCCTATCACCATGTACTAAATTAAAATCTAAATGGATCAAAGATCTGAATATTAAAACAGAAACACTAAATCTGTTGGAAGACAAATCGGATAAAAATCTTGAAGACATAGGGGAAGGTAGAGAATTCACGAGCAGGAATCAAACTGCATTGGAAATACTTGACAGAATCAATAACTGGGATCATATCTTATTAAAAAGTTTCTGCATGACAAAAGAAATCTCCAGAATAGTGAAAAGAAAACATACAAACTGGGAAAAAATCTTAGTGAACTATCCATCAGACAAAGGACTTCTGACTAAAACATATAAAGAAATTTTTAAAAATCAGGCCCTAAAATTCAAAGATCCAATCCAAAAATGGGCATCTGAGATGAATACACACTTCTCAGATGATGAAATACAAATGGCAAATAAATGCATGAAAAAATGTTCATCATCACTAGTCATTAGAGAAATGCAAATTAAAACCACTGAAATTCCATCTCACTCCAGAAAGAATGGCCAGCATCAAGAAAGCTACCAACAACAAATGCTGGAGAGGCTGTGGGGGAAAAGGAACTCTCCTGCACTCTTGGTGGGAGTGTAGACTGGTGTGACCATTGTGCAGGTCCATCTGGAGACTCCTCAAAATGCTGGGATTGGAAGTCCCATTTGTTCCAGCTATTCCACTTCTGGGACTATTCCCAGAAGAACTGAAAATATCATACCACAGTGATATATGTGTACCCATGTTTATAGCAGCACAGTTTGTAATATCCAGGTCCTGGAAACAACCTAAGTGTCCATCAACTGATGAATGGATAAAAAAGTTGTGGTAGTTTTATATAATGGAGTACTACTCAGCTATAAAGAATGGTCATACTGAGATATTTATAAATAAATGGATGCAACTTGACACCATACTCATAAGCGAAATAAATCAATCTCACATGTATAAATACCATATAGTCTACCTCATGTAAGAAATGGTAAGAGTACATAAGAATTTATGATAATCATGATTCCCATTACATTGCTTTCGAGCCTTATAATGTTCCCATTCATTAGTTGGAATGGTTTTATCCTGGGTTATTAGATTTTATTATCTGTGATGTTATGAACAGCTATTTTGAAGAAAACAAAACATTATAATAGCCAGTGCTAATTTAATATCATCTTGTTTTGAAGTCCTACCATTTTTTTTGTTCTGTTTCCATTGGTTCTATCATATTGTATCTTATCGGATTTTATTAGGTGTGATAGTATAAACAAATCTTTTATGGACAATGAGATAATATAGTAACCATTTTTCATTTTCTGTTATTTGGTTCTGAAAGACCTGTAATACTTTCACTCTCTTTAATGGTTTTATACTATTTTGTTATGTTTGATACTATTGTGTATGAAGCTTTAATCAACTATTTCAAGGAAAGAGACATTATGGTAGCTACTGATATAATGGGTTGTCTTGTGTTGCTTAAATTGTTCTGTTCTGATCTGCTTTGTTATGTTCTCTTTTGTCTTAATCTCTTTAAAATAAAAAATACAAAAAAATTATGTAACATAATGGTTAATAATGCTTATGTATTATATGCCCCTTTAATTTTTTTTTAAAAATATCTTTTAGGGAGTAATGCAATTAAAATTTTTCTTGTACTTACATGATGTGATCTAATGCATTAACAGATCCAAAAGGTTGAATATCTGCAGAACATTCTCAGCAAACCCAATTCTTTCCACAATAAATCATCTGGATTCCTTTATGTGCTCTAACATTCCTACTTCTATGTTAGTTACTTAGGTTTAAAAACTAGCTCTAAATACTAAAAGAAATCATAATAGGAATATAAATTTCAAACACAGACATTTCAGAACAAAAAGAATTGTTAAAGATAAACAGAGGCATTATTTCATGATAGAAAAATTAATACTTAAAAAGCATGACTACTAGGATGTCAAAAATATGTGCAGCAACAATGGAGAAATAGATAAAGAAATAGAGAAATTTACTATTATAGTTGGATCTTCACCACATCTTCATTAGATATGTATAAATCCAGAAAGCAGAGAATCAATAAAGACAGAACTGAACTCAACATAACCATGAGTAAACTGGATATTACTGACATCTAGAGATTGCCTCACCTCACAGTCACAGAATACTCACACTTCCCAAGCTCATTTGGAATGTTCATCAATATAGTCTGGAGTAAAAAATATCTTCTGTACATTCTGAAATTTAAAAAAATACCTTAACATTTAAGACATTAGAAATCATATGTTTGTTTTGGACAATGAAAAATTAAACAAATCAAAAACTAGAAAGATAACTAGAAAAATTCCCCAAAACACATAGAGAGTAAAAAACATACTTCAGATCTCAAGTGAAACTTTAAAATATTTTGAAGTAAATGAAAACATAATTTATAAAAGTGTATGAGATGCAGCAAAATCAATATTCAAAGGGAGATTGAATAGATATATTACAGAAAGTATATTGGCATCGAGTAGATATATTGGAAGACAGATTTAAAATCAGTCAAATTTTTTACCTTAAGAAAAACAAAAAAACAAATCTAAAGATAAAAGAAGAAAATAAAAATTAGAACAGAAATCAATAAATTTGAAACGAAACTGAAACTCAAAGGTGTTTCTTTGAAAAGTTGAGGAGCTCTACACTGGTAAAGAAAAAAGAGGACATAAACTACTATTACAAAAATGAAAACGGAAATCTCATGGACATTAGAAGGGTAACTGAAGAATGCTATGAGTAGCTCTATGCCCACAGATTTAGAAATCTAGATGAAATGGATCAATTCTTTGAAAGACACAATCTGCTAAAACACAAAAAGGAATAGACAACTTGAATAGGCAATACCTACTAAATAAATTTGATCTATAATTAGTAGCCTTTCAAAACAGAAAGCACAAGACCCAGATTAATTCATTCATGAATTCTACCAAACATTTATAGAAACTTATTATTCCAATTCTCTAGAATTTCTTATTCAAAATACAGAGGCAAGTAAATACAAGTAAAGGAATAAATATTTCCTAACACATTCTGTAAGGCCTTCAGTACAATACCAAAACACACTGCTTGGTAATATGCATTGAAAGAATAAATGCATGAATGAACCCATCTTTTACAGGTATATTGCTTTTCAATTATGTTAAATAGATCATTTTAAGAGTACTTTTCTCTTTATATATTTTTAGCTTATCAGTTATGATGCTTTCTTTGTGGCAAAATTCAGTCCTAAATGTCAATGCTTTCAGCAGTCTCCTTAATACATAAAATAAAAATGTGTACCCTAAAACAAATAGATACAATTCTTTCCTCCCCAGAATTTAAATTTAAACTTCAAAGCAAGTTTTTATTGACCAAAATGTTTGCCTAGAGGGATAAGTCAAAATCTGGCTGGTGACTAGTCATTTCTGTATGAAAGAAAATGAAAACAAAAAATGAGTTCTTCCTGTGAATGTGACAGTTTGTCAGTGAAGAACAAGAATATTAACCTTTCTAAACCAATCTTACTAAAAATGTGCTGATGAGAAAAAATAGAGTCTATAGATTAGTCTTCAATGATCTCTACCCTCGTCCCGTAATCTTGAGCTTTCTATGTTTACATTTATTTCCTGGTTTTTTATAAATTTCACTTTAAAATTTAAAATAAAAACAACAAAACCTGAAAGAAAATCTCAAAGAAGTCTCCATTAAAGACGTCATTCTATACACGATGAACAAATGAATAAATGGTGAGTCATACAGCAAATTTCCAACTCAGTGGATAAGGATGGGCAAACAATGTTTATTGAGTTTTTATCAGCAACACAGGATGAATGACTATTTTCCCTTGCATGGGTAGATGACTCTTCAATCGTGTTCAGTATTCAGCAACTGGCATTTACCACACAAACTGAGTTGGTTAACAGACATCATTCCCTTTCAGAAATAATTTCTAGATAGATATTTTGAGAGACTAGAACAGTGAAAAGCCTGTGTGCAGTACTCATTTAACTCAAGTCTCCCTTTTAGTTAGCAGGCAGGCATTTACCCTGAACTTGCTCCACCTGGAAGTTCCCATTTGCCCTCTTCCTTCACTTCCATTTCCGCTTCCTGGTACCCAGGTTTCCCAGCACAGCCCCGCGGATTGGCAGAGCGCAGGGGCGGGCTGGCGCATGCGCAGCGACCTGTCCGGCTAGGAGGATCATGAAAGCCCCAAGGCCCTCGGACCCGGAGAGGTGCTCCCAATTGCTCCCTCTGGCGCTAGGAAGCTTTTGGAAGCTGCAGCTTTGTGAGTTGTGGATACTACTGTTGGGTTCCAGTTTGAATGCCAAATCTCTGCCACACGAGGAAGACGTAGACTTTATCAATGAGTATGTGAACCTCCATAATGAGCTCCGCAGCAAAGTGAACCCTGGAGGGGCGAACATGCGCTTCATGGTGAGGCCCAAAGGCCGTTTCTCAAGGCCCCCTCTCCCTTGTCCCCGGGCTCCCTTCTGAGCTGGAAAATTTAAGCCCACTGCTCTGAGTCCTAAGAATCTCAGAGAACTCCTCTGGTAGTTTAGGATCTAAAATACTGTACACATGATTCGGTGTGTGGGACGCAGCCTGAGGCAAACAGAGTAATGAACATTTCAAAATTTTAAACAATACAACATCCTTGATACGAATTTGAATCAAGTGAGGCGTATTCAGAGTAAGGCAAGTTCGGTTCATATTTTTATTTAAAATTTTGAATTTTTCCCCATTGTGAAAGTTTTCACATTAATTCTGACTTTGAAAAAATAGAATTTGTTTTTGTTATTGAATTTTTGGCACTCACTTCATTTTCCTACCCGGGCAGTCAGCATCTCCTCACTCTGGACTAGACTCTTGATTTTGCATTCTCATACAATGTTGTTCTTACTGTCGCCCCCACCCCTTTTTATCTTATTTCCATATAACATCTCATTAAATAATAATCCCTTATTGCAATGGAGATTTAATGATAGTCATTAAAAATGGCAAAGAAATCCAGCAAGAAAATAATCATCTTCCTAGTCGGCATTTAATAACTTCTAATGTGCATTACAAATTATATTGCAAAGATGACCTCAGTACACATGTCCTCTCATCTCCTCCTTCAGGATTATACCTTACCAAAAATTTCAGCTGTGGGATAAATAAATTAAGGGTTTGATTTTTTAATTGCAAATGCTATTATGATTGCACATGTTTTAGTTCTTGTTCATTTTCTTTATCTTTTGTATTATCACCATTTCCTCTTAGGTACATCTCTTCTTTATATGCTCAGACGTACTTTACCACAGAGAAATTCATTGAGCTTGGTACTCCTATCTTGACATAAATTTTGTCCAGGTTTTCATAGTTTGTTTGGTATTAAATGCACAGACTAGCACTTGTGCATGTGGATTGCCTCTAATTTGTGACCCTGTCTAACTAAATGTTTTTTTATACTTCTTGGGTTTTGCTACTGTTTGACTTCTTACAACCAGTTACTAGTAACTGGAATACCACTGTGCTCCTGTTTGCTGAACAAGGTATTTTCCAAGCCAGATTTCATCTTTTGAATTCAGCCATAGAATTCAGAGCTATTTCAGAATTTTAACCATATATTTCTCACCTTTTGTGTTTGTTTCTTCCAAATTTGTAATTATCCTTCCTCCTGAAAATTGATAAACACAAAATATTTCCTAAAATTCTTTATAGATTTTATATTTCTGATCTCTAAAAATTATATAATATTTAAAATATAAAATATAACATACTTGTGAACCTACATTCTATAATTTAAAATTTGGACACGTTTAAAGTAATGATATTGCCAGGGATGTAGTTCAGCAGCACAGCACCTGCCTGGCATACACAAGACCCTAAGTTCTATTCCTGATACCAAAAATAAATAAAGTAGTGATATTTTCAGTATAGTTTAACACTGGAAATAAATAACATGTAAATATCATAACACTATATTGTTTACGTGTTTGGCAATCGATTTTTTTATTCTTTACTGGTTAATCTTAATTTTGTTATATACATGCTTCACATTGCAAATTCCAAAATTAATATCAATAATTTCCTTCTTAATAAAAAGACCTCAGAAAACCTAAGTTATGAGTACTTCCCTTTTATGTCCACATTATTAATGTGTGATATTTTTGTTACATTGTCTTATAATACCAAAAAAGTATTACTTTCAAAATGTATACTATAGTATATTATATTATTATAATACTATATTATATTATAATTATATAATATTATATTTACCATTTTAGCCACTTTTAAGTGAATAGTTTTGTGGCATTAATGACATTCATATTGTTGTGCAAGCATCACTACCACCCATCTCCAGTATGTTTTTCGTGTTCTTAACCATAACTACATACCTGCCAAACAATTAGTCTTCATTTTTCTTCCTTCCCCCATTCCTGGATTCTATTGTTGAATTTTCTGTTTCTATAAATTTGCTTAAGTTACCTCATGTTCTTTATAAGTGGAGTCACACAGTATTTCTCTTTGTGACTGGTTTATTTCATTCAGCATATCTTCTAAGTTCATGTTATCATATTATTAGAATTTCTTTCCTCTTTAAGACTAAACAATATTCGACCAGATGTTTATACTAATTTTGTCTATTGATGCATCAGTTCAGACGCTTGGTTTGCTTCGACCTTTTGGCTGTTGTGTTTAATGCTGCAGTGAGCATTTGTGTTCACATATAGTTTTAGATTCTGCTTCTCCCTTCTATTAAGAAATCCAATTGAAATTTCTGGGTCATATGATAATTTTATGTTCTTTTATAAGGCATTCTGTTTTCCATAGTGGCTGTCCCAGTTTCCCATAAGGAATGCAAAAGGATTTCAGCCTCTCCACATTTTCACCAGCACTTGATATTACCTGTTTTCTTGATGATAGAGATTTAGTTGATGTGACAGTTAAGCCAGATTATAAATATGATTAACTGGTGACCACACAAGGGACTAGTCAATCACACTTTTGAATGTATCTGAGTGAGTCATGGAAGTGTAACCTTGCATATAATATCTTGCCCCTGGCCCATTTCTCTTTGCAAATATTCCCCAGCTCTGCTTCCCAGCCTACATGACGGGAGAAGCTTTACTCCACCCCACTGTTCTACCATCAGGTTTCTGCCATGGAAGCCAGCAAATCTTAGACTGAACTCTTAAAACAATAAACCTCTCTTCTTTTAAGTTGTGAGTGGTTCATATTTTGTCCCACAACAGAACAGCTCATCACTACCCAAAACTGATACTAAAGATGAGTGATCCTTGCCATAATGGTACCTGATTATATAGTTCAGAGAAGGCTTTGGAAGAAGTTTGTCAGAGGAATATGAAAAGATTTGGACATGCAGGCTATAAAAGCTTTGATTTACTATAAGCAGAGCTTGATGAGTAGTAATGGTTAGAGTTCAAAGGCCAGAACCTTGATAGGAAAAACATACAGTGAATGTCAGACTCATGAGGTTTCTGTTGGGAATATGGACTAAGGGCAGTTGGACAAGAGACCATGCATGTTTTATTCTGGAAAAGAATTTTTCTGTGATTTTCTATGCCCTAAAACTTTGTGTATAGCTAATCTCTAGGACAATAGACTAAATGTTGTGGAGGAGAACATTTTAAATCGACCAAATGTTCAGGTTATAGTATGAGCGTTGGTGGCTACTTTTAATCAATTAGAATCAGGAGCAAAGAACAGAAAATCTAGATTTGAGTCATTTAAATTTTGGCCCCAATAAAACCACACATAGGGGCTGGGGATTTAGCTCAGTGGCATAAATGCCAGCCTGGAAAGTATGAAGTCATGAGTTCAATGCCCTGTGTTAGGACCAAAGGAGGTGTGGCTGCCAACTGGATTAGTACAATTTAAAAGAAACCAAGAACTCTGAACTGAAACAAGAAACAAAGATACTTTGAGGGGATCTCAGATATCATCTAGATGCTGCCTATTGCAAGCTCAAGATTATACAAAAAATAAACCTTTCATTTGAGCAGAAAGCCCTTGGGCCTCCTGCTCAAGAAGGATTATTGTAGGGAATTGCTGCCTGGGATTCATTTCACCATGTTCAGCCATCCAGGCTCTCAGAAAGCTCTTCAGGCATTGTCCAAGGGGTCACCCTTGGAGCTCATTATAGACCTTGACATAATTCATATGGTTGTTCAGGCATGCAGATATAAGAGTTGCATATTAATAGAAGCTTCTACCTAGATATCATAGGAAGATGTGCAGGTTAAATTGTTGAACTGTTAAATTGTTGAAATGTACAACTACCACAGTTGTACATTTTCATTTTAGCTCTAGCTTTACTGTATTCCATACCTGAGTATATTGTTTTTATTTTTATATACCCTCAATTTGTCTGGTGATTTCTTTGTTAGTCCATTGGTTGTTTTAATAGGGCATTGGCTGGGCATGGTGGTACATGCCTATAATCCTGGCACTCTGGGGGGTAGAGACAGAAAGATCCAAGTTTAAGACCACTCTGAGCAACATAGTGACTTAGCAAGACTCTGCTCAAAAAAGAAAAAAAAAAGACCAGAGATGTAGATCATAAAGGTCTGGGTTTAAATTCAGTCCCTAGTACCACGTACATTCACCCACACACGCACGCATGCACACACACACATACACACACACACACACACACACACACAGCACGGCATAGCAGGTGTTGTTTCACATTATTTCATCATAATTATTTTTAATTTTTGTTCAGATTTATCAGGACCAATTTCTTTGCTAATCATTCCTCTTTGTAGCCCACTTCTTTCTGGATTCAGGTTTCTTATGTCTAAAATACATTTTCTAACTGTTCATTCATTAAGGATGTGTAAATAATGAAGTCAGTGTTTCTATATCTAAAAGTCTTCATTTCATACTCACTCTAGAATGATAGGGTTTTCTCTCAAAATCATCTTCCGGCTTTCCCTGTTGATTTTAATATTTCTTCTGTTAGTTGAACTCAGCACTTCCTTATATCAAAAACATGAGTGTTACATGTCAATTTGTTAGAAATGAAAATTCTGAGGCCCTTCGCTAGACCTAGTAAATCTGAAATTCTTGGTTTTAAACCCAATAATCTGTATTTTTTCAGTTCCTCAGATCATTCTGAAAGTACCAAAATTTGAGATTACAGGTCTTATTTTCGCTCTTTTTTTTTCCTTTTTTAAAAAATTTTATTCAAGGAGAATCAGAAAAAAAAAACAAAAAGGGTACAAGTTGTACAAAATATATATTCTGTATATTCAGCAGGGATATCTCAGAAAAAATAAACAGTAGGAAATCACTAGTTAATAGATTACATATTGTCATCTTAGAAATAATTGTTCAAGTTACAGAATTAAAGCATATAAAGTGGACATTCAAACAGTGAGACTGCCAACAGTTCTGTTCAGTGACCAACAAAACTCAGTAAT